GTCTGAAATATTGACAATTTGATAATGCAATTTTTACAATAGCATGTACATTCAGTACGTCAAACATGATATTCAACGAAGAGCTAAAATTTATATATTCATATATCGGTGTTGCCCATTAAAAATATTAAAATATTAACTACTGTAAAAATTTAAAATAATCATTTTCTTCCATGAAAAATTGTTCTACTAAGAAGAAATCGAATGTTATATTAAATAATATTAAATTACTAACTAATTGTAAGAGACACAATTAACTGTCATTTTTATTTATAATCTATTAGCTGCCACTTTATTTATGAATCCCAACTGCTCTACTGAAGGAATTGAAAATTACGTTAAATTGAAGAGCTTATTGTAACAATGGGCTAATTCACATCTAATGAAAACGTTTGGGACAAGTAAAAGCCTCTGTCATTCATTTCTACCAATATCACATTTTCGGCTACGTTGTGGATTAGCCCATTGCTACAGTTAATCCTTTAATTATTAATTACATTCACATCTAAAATATAATTAATTTATTATTATATTTTTATTTATATAATTAATTGTTGCCACGATCTTCATTTGTCAATTCCTGATTTTTACGTTTTATATCATTAATTAATCATTAATTATTTTTCTATGTTACTAAAAATATGTGCAAAATAAAAATGTGACAATTGATGAATTAGCCCTACTTTATTTTTTCACACGACGTCCGAATAATTGCGATTTTTTTCCGAATTCCGAGAATCTAAATTTGTCTCACAGCCGTATCAGACTAGAAATTGAGACTCAATTTAACCAATCAAAAGAAAATCAATATCAAATTTAGAGAACTTTGATATTGGTCAAATTCAATCTTAAACTTAATCTAGCTTGATATAAGACTTTATGGATTGCAAAAAATGATGAATTTAAAAAAAAAAACAAGTTTTCGCGAAGGCAAAAGAACGTCGTGTCTTCAGCGAAAGAGGGAACGACAACAAAACGAGAAATGCATGAGGGGCGCGTTCGTGGTATCCAAGAAAGAGAGCAGCCAACGAGGGCAGAGGGAGAAAGGACTCGTAATCGCGACGAAAAATACAGTCGTTCTCGGTCAGGTCAAACCAGGGAAAGGGGCAAGGTGGGATAGGTCTTTGTTCGAAAAGGGAGAATTGTGGGATGAAAAGCTCGTGACACGGCCAGCTGTTCGAATCACGACCAGGGTCTGCCTGGACGGGTGTAAAGTTTGTTGACACACTCCACTGGCTATTACCGCCAATACGATTCTGTACTAAAAAATTCTCACGAGAAAAAGAGGAGACAGCCTCTCTCTTGAAGCCGAAAATCACAGATATTTAAATTGATATTTAGCTCCCCTTCCAATCTGTTATTTTATTTCAATTCTTTCTGGAGTTCTCCACAGAAATTGTTGTCTTTAGAGTTTGTTTAATGAGATCAACATATTGTCTATCAAATTACGATAAGATCACGTAAATTATATAATAATTAATATAATAAATAAAAACAATAAAGTTTAATTAGCTCATTATATGAGTTTCTTGAACATAAAAAGGAAATTATATAAATTTCGCTTTTACATTTAAATATTTGTTAAAAGTTGATTCTTTTTACGATATTTCAACATTTTTTCGCGCGCTTGCAAATAAAGATCGGCTTGCTTGTCATCTTGTGAAAACAGCTGGATCCTTGGAAAAACATCAAAGCGTTTTTGTAAAAAGTCAGAGCTACTTATTAGTGTAAATATCGTTTAAAGTATCACGTTCAAAATCAAATCTTGATGAATTTAATTGCGCTTTTCAAAGAAAATTGCTCCTTTACAACCCTCGACTGCAATTTATTTGATTACATTGGATAATTTCTAGTTCTGGCTCTAATCTATTTCTAACTAAATATCGTGTTTTTTTTCTTCCTATCATAAAAAACAAAGTTGAATTGTCTGCTTCAAATAGATTAATCCAAGCGGTATAATTTTATCTAATTTATTTCTAGATTGACTCAAGCTATTGATATAACTTTGTCTAATCTATTTCCAATTAAATATCGTCTTTTTTCTTTTCTATCGTAGAAAACAATGTTGTCTGCTTGGAATGAATTGATCCAAGCTATTGATATAATTTTGTCTTTTTTATTTCTAATTAAATATTGTCTCTTTTTTTCTTTCTATCGTAGAAAATAATGTCTGCTTGGAATAGATTGACCTAAGCTAACGATATAATTTAATCTATTTCTAATTAAATATCGTCTCTTTTTTTCTCTCTATCGTAGAAAATAATGTTGTCTATTTGGAATGAATTGACTCAAACTATCGATATAACTTTGTCTAATCTATCTCTAACTACATATCGCTTCCTTCAAAAATGGCACAACTAAAAAAAAGATTTTTAAGTAATCAGCATGATTTTTCAAGTAATTATCGTTAATCAATTAAGTAAACACTATCTTATCATTTATCAAAAGTAAATTTAATTTCATAAACAATCATCAAAATGTCATTAAAAAAGGTGATTTTTTAAAAAATAACAAAAATGTGACACAAATGACATTTGATATTAATAATATATTCGTTTTGATCAGTCATTAATTTTCTGTTAAGTTGAACAAAATTTCTTTTTTGCACTGAAAAAAAAATCTTAATTTCAAAAAAATATTTCTTTGCTCATATTCAAAAGAATTATTTCTTTGGAAAATTTCTTTGGAAATAAGATATTGTATGATATCTTATATTCAAAGAAATTTTTTCTTTGTAATTAAGATTTTTTTTTTCAGTGTGGGGGAAATTTAATTTTTCGCGTTGTCACTTTTGAAATAAAGGAATGATATCACTTTCCATTGTAGGAAATAAAGTTGAATTGCTGCCTAGAATGGGTTGACCCAAGCTATCGGTATGCTCGATTATGGCAGGAGCTATGATTAATTGGGAAGGAACACGAAATCACTAGGCGCATATTAGAACCAGGACACAACAAATCAAGATTCCGGCGCACCTTGTTCTCAATGCGAGCATGCGAGGGGAAACGATCGCGAGGAGAGAAAGAATTCCTCGTGAATAAGCATACTGATCGTTTCTCCTTTTTTTTTTCTTCGACAGATCTGTCATTATCGTAAATACATCGGATTTCCCGAATAAAACGCAACTGTATACAGGAATATCGACGGATATATTCTGGGGCATCTCATTCCTCAGAGAAACAGGAAAAAAATCATGCCTGCATACGGCACACATATGCTTTTGACGTTTCGCATCCGGTAGCGTCGTCAGGTTAACGCCACCGATTATATCATACGCTTTCGGTAAGTCGTCCGAGTTTGAGATACCGGCGGCGCCGATAAGCGAGAATCAAGATCAACGTCAAGCGATACGACTACGATCACGCGACGCGACGCGACACATCCGTTTCTTTCTTTCTTTTTTTTTTTATTCAGAAAGAATCCGGAGCTTCGTAAGGGAAGAAGGTAGGAAACGTCGCGCGGTCTCGCATGCTTATCCGCGTACGCGCCCTCTCCCACCGTCTCTCTCGCTCGCTCTTTTCGTTCTCTCTCTTTCTCTCTCTCTCTCGCGCGCGCGCTCGTTCCCTCTCGCTCGCTCGCTCTCAGTCGTCGTCAAACGGGTAGTGGTTATCTTACCTGTGTGCTTCTCCGTCTTCGGCGTGGAGGCCATCGTTTACCCTGGTATGTCGCTCGCCGGTGACGTCGATCTCACTATCTCACCACTTCCGCGCACCGTCGCATCGTGTACTACGCACTGGAGGCTGCCGCGACGTTTTCAGTCTGTTGTAAACCCGACGCGCATCGCTACATCTTCGTTTGTCGGCCATTTTTCGGGCAGGCGGGCGCGCGCGCGCGTTTTTTTTCCATCGGGCGGCGGGGACGCGAAACCGGATGGGCCAGTTATGGCGGACGCGCTGTCAATCGTGTGACATTTCACTCCTGCGTGCTTACTCCGCGAACGCGGACGCCGGGTACGAATTACGAGTCGACGGCGGACGTATGTCCGCGTGTATTCGCACGTGTCTCCGCGAGCGAGGCGGCTTTAACGAGACGCGACGTATGTGTGTAGCTCACGTCGCACTCTGTGCGGTGAAACTTAACCACGTTGCTCCGGCGCGGTGATTCCGCGCTACGGAAATCTCGTCAACGGAGTGAACACAGCCACCGACCGCGCGCACCGCTACAGCGTCGCGCAAAAGTCGCCGCGCGCCGCAGGCGGTAGTACAGTCCGCGTGGAAAGTTTACCCGGCGGCGCGTTCCTCGCGAAAGTTTCGCCGGTTTCGCGTCGCTCCGGAGAAATTCGCGCGCTTCGCGGATTATTTTGAATCGTACGAACTGCGTCACGGCGCGTTGCAACCCCTTTTTCCGTTTTCCACGCGAACGATTGTATACAGATAACTTCGAGAATCGTAATACGTTTGTTCGTGTCGCTTGAAATTTTCAAAAATATTTGCAAAAAGAAATTAATATATATTCGAGGAAAAAAGAAAAAGCGAAGATTCTGAACATAAAAAGCGCAAGCAACACGAACGGCATAAAAAAAAAACAAACGAAATAAGAGCTTGATCGTATGCACTTTGCGAAACAATCCAAGCATAATTACCTAAATTTCAAATTTAAAGTAAAAGGTCGTAAAAAAGTACACTGCGATCTTGCGATAAAATTCTGCTTCGAAAGTGATACTTGATATCTGTTACGATAGATCGGTACGGTCAATTAATTCCTTGACTACGTTGACAGGGAAACGGCTCGCGCGATTGTTACTCGCAAGGATATCGAGACACTGAGGCAACATGGGCAACGCCGCCTTGAAAAGGCACTACGAGACCGCGGAGAAGACCGCCACCCTGAAGTTGTCGCAATGCAAGCTGGACAAGTTCTCGCGGAAACTCCACGACTTGGCGCCGACGCTCCGCACCCTGGACCTGTCCGAGAACAGTTTCACGACACTGCCGAACGAGATCGGCGACTTCACGCTGCTGAAGCAGTTGAATTTCAGCCATAACCGACTGACCGCTCTACCCGGCACGCTGGGCGCGCTTGAGAAACTCGAGGGCCTAAACTGCGCCGCAAATCAGATCAGATCGATCCCGTCGTCGCTAGGGAATCTGAATCACTTGAAGCAGGTCAATTTGTCTGACAATCAGATCTCCAATTTCCCGCTGATGTTCTGCGGTCTCAGGCACCTGGATGTCCTGGATCTATCCAAGAATCGGCTTACGATAGTGCCGGACGCTGCCGCTGGCCTCCACGTGATCGAGCTTAATCTTAATCAGAATCAAATCGCCACCATCTCCGAGAAGCTGGCGGATTGTCCGCGATTGAAAACGTTGAGATTGGAGGAGAACTGCCTACAGCTGAGCTCGGTGCCCATCAGACTCCTCAAGGACTCTAAGGTCTCGGTGTTGGCGCTCGAAGGAAATCTCTTTGAGATGAAGCAGTTCGCAGAACTGGACGGTTACGACAGATACATGGAACGCTACACAGCGGTCAAGAAGAAGATGTTCTAAAGGATAGTTTTATATGGAAAAGAATATATTGTTTGTATTATACGTATGAAATTGTTCGGTAGGTATTGAAGTTACCAAACTGTCGAATGGATAGCATCGAAGAGAAAAAGATTTAATTGTATGGCACTTTTGTGTCATCGATTTAAGAATAAACAGCCGATGTAGAGATATTTAAAGTGATTGAAAGTATTTTAGATCAGATTTACAAGTCACAATTTGGAAATGTTTTCTTTCTGATACGTGTAAATTAAACTTTTTTTGTGAGATAAATCATAATATCTGTCTCTAGACTGTTTATAATGTTTATATCTACGGGATCTATAAATAAGCGTAATTCAGAAATACGTATCGATCTCTTTGTCGATAAACGTTAATGACCAAATTAAATAACTGATTTTCGATAACTGGTATTCAAAGGGACAGTCATTGTAAATAGTTATCTCTTTGTTATTTTTTTGAAATGTTATTTCTTTATTTGGCGTAAGTCTGAATATCTATACGCACGAATATATGTATGAATATATACGCTTTCAAATAATGCTCTTACACAGAATGCCTAAAAGAAATATTTCATTTCTTATTTACTGTGTCTTATGTAAATGCTTATTTATCAGAGATGATTCCGGAATGATATACATTATTTTATGGCATTCAAAGAATTGTGTACGTGCAGCTTGTCAAAATATTTTTTATGTTAAATAAAAGATCTTGTCTTTTATAAAATTAAAATAATTTTTTTTTATTAATAATCTTAAACCAATGATATGAAAATTATTTGCAGAAGTAGCAATTAAACAGCAGCCTGTGTTTGTTTGAATATATTTAAATGGTCAATCCTTGAAAACGTTGCAATTTTTATAATGCACCGATAGATTAAAATATATTTTCAATTTTGCAGAATTTCTCAAACTAGGTTGGATGCATATAGCGTTTCAACTATTTATAAAATTAAATCGAAACAAATACGGATGGAAAAAGTGCGCATTCAAATTCTAACCATTTGTGCCGAAAATTAATAATA